CTATAAATGACATCTCTAAATTTCACTTTACCCAGCGATTGTTCATGGAAGTTTCACTTTGACCTTGGTCAACACGGTTAAGTTTAGAATTAAACATCAAAAAATATAGGTTTTGCATTGAGTAAAAATTAGATCATTTATAATTCTGATTTCAGAAATGTGTTTTTTAGTGTTATTAAAATAATCATTAATATATGTAAGCTACTTGTTAAAAACAGTCTCCATTTCTTAGAAGCTTCACAAATATTCTGATGGTAGGAAAGTTAGGGTCAGTTTGACAGTGTGAGATTTTAGGTAGGATCTATGAGACTAGGACAATTCAGGGACATCAAATCCAGCCTGATAAAGCTGAAATCTCTAGACAGCTACTTGTCACATCTGAGGAGTTATCCCAGGGGCCACCAAGAAGAGCTGAAAGAGCCAAAACCGCAAGTTATTAGTTATTTGGTTACTTAGATACACCCATAGTCCAGCAACCTAAGCAGTAGTATTTAACAAAAGAGAAAGCAAATTAAAAATGAGTTGGATTGATAAATGTGATTAACCCAATTTCAATTTCAAGGCTTTAATATTTTAATAAGCTTAAGTCTTTTGTTCTCAGTCACATGCATAATTACTTTTTCTCATTCCTTTGAATTAACAACAGAAAAATCTCAATAATCTCTGTAGAAAAATACACAGTCGGAAAAACTGATCTGAGTGAATATCATTGTTACCAAAGTTCTGCAGTTCCCTTATATATGGCCAAAGGTAAAAAAGAAACATTTATAATCATGCTGACTGTGGGGAGAAGTAAATACATTGTTTTCTCCAAGTATGATTATGCTGGAGCAAGACAAGGTTTATCTAGTTAGTCTTTAACTCCAGTAGCTTGTGTCAAAATTGAAACAGGAAAAAAAGAAGAAAAAGTTTTCAGCATGCAAATCCCAGGATGCAGGCTGACTCCCCACAACAATTTCTCCCATCTTCTTAAGTACAGGATATTTCTCCAGTCCCAGAAAACAGGCATAATTTAATTACTCGGTAATTAGTCTTTGAAAGCATATTTAGATGGTTTACTGTTGTCAAGTTCAGACATTCTCAATAAAAGCATATCAGAATCATGAAGAGTAGCTTCAAAATACGTATTTTACCACAGAGAAATTAGGTACATAAATGAATAATAAACTCACTCCTAATCCACTCTAGATGGCAACCTCTTAAACAGAGAGAGAACAATGAAGAAAAACTATTTATCCAGGGGGATTCTGTACTCGTGTGTTACGTGTGTGTTACATATGTGTATACATACGTGTGTGTGTGTGTGTGTGTGTGTGTGTGTGATCGGCTTCTCACTCTACACCTCAGGGCAAGAACTGCCTAATTTGATGTTAGAAGCACTCACTTTCCCCGGGGATCCTTGGGTGTTGCCTCTATGCCCTAAGGCATGGTTAGAATTGGGATTTGCCAAGCATCCTTGTTTCAGTTTCCCAGTTAAGGGATTATCACTCTATCTTTTCTTCTCATTCTGCCACGGAGCTTACTAGGGACTTGACAGGTAAGGGCAGAGCCAGTTTTTGCCCACAATAATTTGGGGGATTCTGTGGCCTCACTCAGAAACCTTAAAACATTCATGGCTTCTGAGAGGCCAGGGAGTGAATGATAGGGAGGGGCCGAGATTCTGAGCTGCTTTCCCAGGAAGCACAGGTGTCTAAACATTAGCAAGGGCCATTCGGTCTTAATAATGCCTCCTGTTGGTGGACAAACTGCAAGTTTTTGTCAAGGTGAAGATAGTCTGTGAATACTTAATTATTATGCAATTATTCATCCCTGTTCTTTTCTTCCCTTTTTTTCTTTTAACCTAACACCTTCCTCTAGAGAAATCAGTCATACTAAACATTGACTAATGTGGTCTTCAAACACACTGGGATCCCCTGGAGAACTTTTCAAAATACCGGTGCCTGGGTCCAACCCCCAGAGGTTTTGCTTTGATTTGTCCTGAACCTGGGCATTAGGATTTTTAAAAACTCCCCCAAGTGATATGCAGCCAAGATTAGGAATCACAGCTTTTTGGAGAAAAAAACAAAAAACAAAAAAACCCAAGGCTGGGAGTGAGAGGAGTTACAAATGAGAATAAATCAACACGATCCAATGTTCTATTTCCAAAGAGAAAGACACCCATTGCTGTAGGGGTAAATGATAGCCCAGTCACCTTAATTTAGAATTTCAGCTTTGTTCACTGTTTCACAGTCTCCGTGTTATTAAGTTTCTGTTTCATAAACCTGACAAACATAATTGTTAATTACATACCATACGCTCCACCCTCACAGTGCTGGTTTCTCTCAGAACCCTCAACTGATATAAAGCTATAGTGCAATGCCCCACTATATTAAATTTCAATTTAATTATCTTTATCACAGCATCGCCTCCTTGGAGGAAATGATGAACTCTGATATGGACTTATAATAGAAGAGAAAGGTATTGCAGTGAGCCTTGCCCTAGAGCCCTGTGCTACTATTTAGGCTGCATTTGCAGGCTCAAGAGCAAACAATAAAATGGTTGAAAAATGAGCTCCTTTTCCACTTTCTCAGATCCCTGCGATGTGATCCCTCAAAAGTCCCTACTGGCATGCACAAAAGTGAATGGCATAAAAAATGGGACATTAACCCACAACTCATTTGTGTGTGTGCGTGCGTGTGCTTGGGCGTGCATGTGCGCACACATGCTCACATACACACACACACACACACACACACACAGGCACACTTCAGTTAACAGCAAAGGATGATTCCTGAATAATCAGCACAGGAGAGAATAGTAACCCATGGACAGTACGTGTTCGTTACTTAATATTAATCTTTCCATAGTTAAACTTTACTTAGTACTATGTAACCTTAAAAAAAGAAAGCTTTAGGGTGTTTTACTCTTAAACATTACTTGAGGTGACTTTCAATAAGAATCTCTTTAACCTTGGTTTGCAAATTAAAAGAGCTAGGAGCTTGCAAGGTTAGTCGAAGTAATTGTTTCCCTAAATTAACACTAAAGGGGCTTGAATCCCATGCAACTAGGATATTAGGTGACTTCGAAGAAACAGACCAGAAAATGGGACCACGGGCCTTTGAGACTCCATGTTATGGAAGCAAAACCGCAAAAGGAATTTTATTATCATTAATTAAGCATTTATATAGCAAGTATTTACAGAAAGCACTTTGAAATCAACTGCTATGGGGAGTGGACTGGCACTATTCTTTAGATATGTCTCCTCGTTCCTGTCTTTGTTCTCTTTAAACATGGGAAGGAAGTTCAGGTACAGAGAAATCAATTGGTCCAAACCTCAAACAATGGCGTCCAATAGAGGCACAGAATGTCATGGAAACTTGAACTCTTGGATGAATCAAGAATATTGTACGTAGCTAGTAGGGCTCCAGCTTGGGCCTAGGTTGAACTCTGTATATGATATTGACACATTTGGTTTGGTGGGGATGTGGGAGTGGGAGGCGAAGACCTAAGAAGGCTCTTTGGTAAGAAGGCATCTTGAGGGGGAACACGTTGAGACATTTAAGCAGAGAGCCATCTAAGGGGAGAGTGTTTTGAGTACACTGTGTGCCTATGACTCATATAACCACCACCTTCAACCTGAGGGAGCAGTGGCAATAAAAAGTCATACTTGAAATAGATATGCTACTAACATTTCTGCAACAGATGGGAGTGATGGATGCTTTATCTCTTTGGGGTTCTAACAAAGTAGAGATGAACAGAAAAGATAGCTTTCCAGAAATTGCAGCTACGGTATAATAGGGGAGGTAGGAAGGGGCTTCATGTCATCACTGCAGTCCTGTTTTCCATGAGTTTTAATGCATTTAATGGAATAAGGTGGTGGGAAATGGGGAGTATCTGGCAGTAACTCAGAGTGCTAGACGAATCGGGGAGAGACATTGACCGTGCCTGCGGTGTTTATTTTACCATCAAATTGGTACGGACGGAGTAAAGATGAATGATTAGAGTCCGAACAAAATTCTTGCATTATAAATTATCAGCCTCTGTGGCTTGAATATACAATCTTTACACTCTCTGTTCTTCGTTAGAACTTAGAACAATGTTTCACCCATGGAAGTTTAATAATTCTTGCTCACTGAGACCTGTATGAGCAACTGAGCTCCCATGAGTCCCCATTTGAGTATTTCCCCTCTGTCTTCTAAGATTCTGTATGGTTTTACAAAATGCCCTGGTCTGGGCTCAGTCAGAAAACCAGAAACAACTTTAAGAATCTCAAATGGAGCTAAGAGGACAGGAAATTGGTTACTAAATCTTGGAAAGGCTAAAGGAGTAACACAGGAGCATTTGATTAGTAGCTGCAAGACAACACTTCCACCCCATCGGCAAGAGGACTAAAAGAAACAATACTATTCAGGAGCCCATGGTCTCTGCTATGGAACCTGCTGGATAATCTTTCGCCGCCACTACTCTGCAAGACCAGGCGAGGAAGCTCATTCTCAGGCTGCTGTTGCCAGGAGAACTGCCTGAAGCAAAAAACAAAAAGAAAGAAAAAGAAAAAAGGAAAGAAAATGTCCTCTCTCTTATTCCCACCTTCCAATCTCCTGCTAGGGCCTCCTGCTAGAAGAACAGAAGGAAGCTGCTTGGTAAGGGAGTCTGTTAAATAAAGTTCGCAGACTTCCACCCTGCTTATAAAAGAATGCAGATGCCTGGGAACCGACCTGAGAGGCAAAGAGACAAGCAGCCAGCGAACTGGCCAACCCACGCAACCACCAACTCACGGAGGGAGGAGGGAGCCCACAATACTGTGGAAGTCCCTCCCGATAGATTAAATTGCTCTGCCAAAGGGGATCTTTCTGTAGAAATTATGCAGCGATTGCCTCCGAGTGTAACAGGAACCCCGTCCACTTCTTTTTGCCTTGTGATTGAGAGATTTCGCTTTAAAACACTTGCTTCTTTTTACTTGAATTTCAGTTGGAAACCACTTATGAAAGCAATCCACATGCATAATATATTACAATCTGGAATACACTTAATATAATTTATTAGACCGTTAACGGGCACAGGGATTACCTGTAAACACTCAGAGTAAGAAAGACAACGCCAACAAAGAAATCTAGTGCCTGACATGGGGCCAAATGCAGCATCTGAGGATGGGCTTTGATGGAAATGGCTTATGAAAATTCACTCCCATTAGAGAATGGCTTTTTTTTTTTTTTTTTTTATGTCAGCTCACTAACTTCCAGGAACTAAATGAAGACATTTTAAAAATCAAAGTGATATAATCATGTAAGTAGAGCTTTATAAAAATTGATAATGGCACAGCTCCAAAGTATGACAACATTAACCACATCAGGAGAAAGTAATGAATTGTAATAAGTCTGGAAACAAGCTAAGAAGTCATTAATATCTCTGAATCCATTTTGTGAATCTATTATCTTAATTTTGTGGTATTTTGAATAGAATGAAAAACATTGAGTAACAAAAGCAAGGTGTTAACTGAATGCTGGTGATTTCTGAGGCTTGTGTTGACACACATATCACAAGGTTCCTTTTCATCGGAGACTGGAGCGTCACATTTCCTCTCTGGAGAAAGTCATCATCTATATAAGGAGAGAAAATTTTAAAGCAAGTTAGCGTCAAATAGAACCTGAAAGACAAATACCAGATCTCCCCAAAGGCTGGACCTACAGACAACACATGGTCTGCAGAGGAAGGATCAAGGGCAAGAGATGACAATGTTTTTTATTTCACACTGATAGACTTTGCCATACGTTGGGATATACTTCAAAACAAGAGCCATAGCATTGGTTCTGAGGTTCTCATCCTGTTTATTTCTAACAATGATCTGTCGTTCTTAGGCCAATGATCCCAGCTCTTCCCTGAGAAGAAGCTGAGCCCCAGAGGTGGGCTCTGGTTTGCTAGAGACAATCAAGTCAAGCCCTGAGGGGGCAGAAGAGGCAGTTTCCAGGTATACTCCCCTCCCAGGTGTTTAAGGGGATACCTCCTAGGGGTGGGGAACACGGTAGGGGTGGGGGACAACCCTGAAGTCAACCTCCAATGCTCAGGAGCTTTGCACAATTGCGATCATTTAGACGGTGCCCTGAAAAAAAAAATCACAAGCTGCAGAGAAGGTAAGGTCTGTAACCAGACGAGGGTATTGGAAACTTGCGCCTTGCATGGGCCTGAGTAATAGGTCTCTAATTCTAAGACAACCTCCAGCCAAAGAATGTCTTCAACCTTGGTGCACTCCCATCTTCCATTTCCTCTTCCGGTGGCTGCCTCTCTCCCCAATCTAAACAGCTATCCCAGTTTCCCCCTAGGAGAGGATATGTACCTATTCTCCTCAATAAACAAGTGTTTATGAAAAACAAGAGGGCAAATTATATATTCTGTGAATGAGAGACATGTTTGTATTAAAGGGGTAGTCTGACACTTACAATCTCTCTGAAATCCGGATGTGTCTTCCTGGCAAAGGGAATTCATAATTTAAATCAGCAATGTTTCTTTTTCTGTCTTATGGTCCCATGAAGCAATGGTGTATTGTATAAATTGTTGGTGTTAAAAACTAAAGAAAATGTAGCCCTTCTGTGAATGTGTACTCTTGGATGAATGTCAGATTCCTACTCTACACGAAGTGGGGCCAATCGCTAAACTCAGGTGATTTCTTGCAGTTTCTCCCACCTTTGATACCTACTACACCATTCAGTGGTTTCTCAGCAAAGATTATTTGGTAAAGGATAAGGATGTGAATCGTTATTGACGAATGATCCTGCGAGGAAACTAAGCTGTTGCTCAAAGTCAACAGGTACGAGACAGCTTAGCTGAGGACAAGACCAGGCTCCCAAAAAGGGAGAAGACAGAGCAGCCCAGACTAGAAGTGCATATACAATATTTAACACATTTTCAGATTTCTCACAATGCAAACACTACCTTGCCTGCTCTGCTGGAAGATACGGCAGCACACACAAGCCCACTCCATATCTTATATTTTTAAAAGATCAAGAACTCACATTCACCATTTATAAATCAAGTTAGAAGTTTTCTGACTGGAAGAAAAGAGAATGAATTATTCCATGCCAAAAAAAGCTTAACAGTTTCTAACATGGCAGTGGCCCCCGAGATAGCTCCCAAGCCATTTATCTGTGAAAGGTATAATTATTTTTGGTTCTACAAACTGTATCAACATTTGAATGTATTATGTATTGTGATAAAATGCCCCTTTTCCCTTAGCCTTTTGAAAGTGAGTGCACTCAGAAAGCTCGCTAGGTGCATTATAGGGACACATCAGGCAATCTGTGAGCTGAGAATGCTCCACTCTGATCTTCCAACGAGTGGATTGTGACATGGTGTCCCCATGGAGCGGAATGCACAGCACAGGAGGGTCTTTTAACTAAAGTGCACAGAGGGAAAAATTTATGAGGTTCTTATGAAGTGGTTTGTTTTAGCTCTGAATGGAGGAAAAGAGGGAGAAAGGACAAGGGGGCAGTTGTGTGACATGAAGATCCAGTTGGGGCCTGGTGTGATTTTTATCATCTTAAAACACATTTGAAGAGACTACCCTCAAAGCGTGAGACTGTCTCAGAACAGCACGGAAGAAATGTAAGGCAAGAGTAGTTGGTCTGTAAACAACCCACAAAGCAAATTACCAGCTGATCTTTCCTGAGCTAAAATTCTTTGAGTTACAACGGGAACAGCTTCTGAGTATACAAAGAGCATAAGTCCTCTTTTTGGTTCCAGTAGGGCTTTGTCATGACTTGTAATGAGCTGAACATTGTAATGCATGTTCTAAAAAAATAATAAATTGACTATTACTGTGTGTGCAAAAAATACAATGCGCATGCACCAGGATGTTAACAAAACAGCACCTGCACAAACTGAGATCGCAACTCTATTCTCAGCTTATCTTTGCTTTTCCCTCCCTGGGGTCGTTTCTGTCTCAATGGGAAAGGAAAGCTGCACACGCAAGCATAATTCATATGTTAGACGGGAGCTACCACTTTTGTGTGAATCAGCGCTCTGTAAACAAAACAAAAATCTGAAAAATGTTGAAGTCCAAACATTCTCGGACAGATAAATAGAACAAGCTTCCAGATGACAATGGGAGTAGTGGGAGACTGGAGGTAACACAGGCTTTTAAAATCAGAATTGGAATTTAGGGGAGGCGCACCGAAATTACGAGCTATTTACAGAACTTTAAACTGATGCTCCTCTTAAAAAGTGGTAAATTTAAACTTTATTTAAAGCCATTCTTTTTTTTTTTTTTTTAAGATTTTGTTTAGTTATTTGAGAGAGAGAGAGAGCATAAACAGGGGGAGGGGCAGACGGAGAAAGAGAAGCAGGTTCCCTGCTGAGCAGGGAGCCTGAGGGGGGGAGGCGGGCAGTATGTGGCTTGATCCCAGGACTTCAGTCCTAGGACCCCAGGATCATGACCTGAGCTAAAAGCAGATGTTTAACCAACTGAGCCACCCAGACGCCCCTATTTAAAGCCATTCCTAAAAATAACTTCATTAATAGAATTATAGAAATGAAAGTACAGATAGATAAAAGGACATAAATCTCAATGATGATTATACCTATTCATCTTTTAAAAAAATGTTAATAATTAACAAAATTCTCAAAATCAAATGCATCATCCATCTGTGGCAGGCAAGTGACAGATTTGCTGACTGAGAACAGACAACCCAGGTAAGTAATCAAAATCACCACAGCTAACAAATACTGAATATTCAAAATTGTCTTCCCTAGAAGTGCCATGCCTTGCACTAAATCCTTTGTAGTTATTTTCGTAGTTAGCGTTTTCAGCAGCCCTGTAAGGTAGGTACTGGTTATGCTTCGCATTTGGTTTCGGATTCATGGACCTTGCTCGTGCGAAACTGCCCGCCCTGCCCAATCGGGGCCGTGTGGCTGAGGACTGAGCCCTAGCACCTCACCGCTTCCCCTACTTCTAGCCGCCCCCTATTTCTCAGTCACTATTGCTATCAGAGGAAAAGGGCAAAACAACATCAAGAATGCTGTTGCTTGGGCAAATGCCCAAGTAAATTGTGGAAAGCGAGAGAGTTTGACTAAAATGAGAAAAGCGGGAAGTGAATAGGGAGCCTCCATAATGGGAATCATTACAATCTTACAAGTCTGAGACTTGGTATGGACAGAGAAACTTAGATTGGGAAGAGACTCTAGAGAGTTTCTGGCACATGACCATGTCGTCTCTGCTTGAGCCCTCCCAGTGACGGGGTGCTCACCACCGATCAGGCAGCTCATTCCAAAGTTGAATGACTTGAATTTTTAGAAAGGACACCCTTCCATGGAGCCAAAATCAGAGTTGCTGTCACCTCAAGTAAATACTTTCACAAGTCATACTAAGCCCTCTATCCCTTGATCATCAAAAGGGACGACTGTTCCACTGTAAACCATGAGATGTGAAGTGCCACTCAAAGGGCAGCATAATTAGTTCTATAAGTGGTGTCTCAAGGTTTGGATGTTTCCATCAGCTGAGTCGAGGCTGGTACACTCTGACAGCCGACTCGATTATAGTGCACAACCCCAAATTCAATCTACCAAAGAGCCAAGGGCACTGCACGTTACAAAATCATCGCACGGCTTAATTGGCGTTGTGTTGGCAAAGACATACCTAACACCTAACTGAACCAAGATTCAGAACGGGACAAGGCAGCAGGGTGTATGCAGTGGGCCTGTGAATTACCACGAAGTGGGTGAGGAGCACAGGAGGAAATGAATAATAATTCCCATGTAGGGTAAAGGTAGGACATAAGGACTGGCTGAAGAGCGACTGGCCCACCATACTGCCAGGCTTGCTCAGAGAGCAGGGCTTCTGATGGACAGGGCCAGGCATGGCGCCCCACTTCATGAGCCCACCATGCACATCCAGCCACACAGACTTAACTTCAGGGAAAATATTTGTTCTCCAAGAGGAGGAACACACTTTAGTCTATTCTATAGATACGCAGTGCCACCCCTTAACCAGATGCCTCCCTCCCGAGCCGTTCACTGCCCTCGTAAACCAAAAGTAAGACAGGACAGGAGAATGTAACTCCTTCATTTCTAGAGGGAAATAGAAGACTTGCTCGTATTACCTAATATTTGACATCTGTTTTGTCCAAAGTGAAAACTTAGCAGTGACCAAGTCTACATTGTATTCTGAGTAGAAGCTACATCAAGACAACTCTGGAGTGTAGCTCCTTAGGGGTGCTTTTTACAAAGCAACGCAGCACTGCTGATCCCCCCCCACATCATACCCCCACATCCTTCACCCCCCATCTCCAAGAGGAGCTCCCGCTGACCTCCAGAACTGGCAAAGTTCTGTGGCTTCGCTCTGAGTTTCAAAACGAATTGCTGGTTGTATAGATTTCTCAATTACACAGTCTGTGTGAATGAGTTGACTGATTTTTATGAGCGGACATAAAAGGTTTTTTTTTTTTAAAGATTTTATTTATTTATTTGAGAGAGAGAGAAAGAGAATGAACACAGAAGCAGAGGCAGAGGGAGAAGCAGACTCCCTACTGAGCAAGG